ACATATTTGCACTCTGTAGAAAAGAATTATAAAACATGATATTTCTGAAAAACTAAAAAGAGTTGGATGAAATCTTTTGGTTACCAAACTAAATCTTGAAATCCTAATTAGAAATGGCAGTTTCAGTCTCTAGAGTCCTATATAACGTTTCAGATGTCTAGTGACATAAAAGCCTGAGAGTTTTGTGCAAAGGGAATCAAAGTCAGCAAGAAGCAAGGCATCCAAGACTTTCTTTTCAAGAATTGCCAACAATGACTATTATGAAAAAGGGTCCAGGGCTACTTGGTCCATTCGTTTCCTTGACATTCCACTGGCTCTTGTTTTTTAAAAGTAATCGTGTGACATGTAACCATGACAATGATGTTTTGCCAGTTATATTGGTTATAATTAAAATGAGAAACATCTGTGGCTGTTTCTGAGGTTGTTTTCAAGCCCTCTGTCTCTTTGTAACATTGATTCAGTGGGACTAATTAGGATGCACTTATGCATATGCAGTATGTTGCACAATAGGACATGAAACCTTAATTAGTTTTTCCCTCTCTGCACTCATTGTATCAATATATCATGAAGAATTCATCTCGGGCATTGATAGGAATGGATTGCTGTCCATTAACCTGTCCTTAATAGGCCGTAATTGTTTTGTCCTTATATCCTTAACTAATCTGTATTCGGCGATAGTGATGAAATATGATGATTTTGGCACTAAAGTATTGTTTGTAGGGCATAACGACAAAGTAGAATTCTGTCCTTGTATTTGGCATGCTGTTTGCCATAAAGCTTGGGACACAGAATGCTGTCTTTGGAAGCCAGTCATGTTTAAGGTTTCAATTTCCAATTGGCTTTGTATTCCTTTGGCTTTGCGGCTGATCTAAGTTGGCAAAATTAATAACATATAACCTTTTGAGGTCTCATATATGGCCTAAAATTGCAGAATCTATAATAGCCGGTTTCTTTGGGAGCTAATAATGAAGATCTGCTGTTGTATGAGGCACAACTGGTCTGATGACGTGAGACTTTGCCTCTCCTGTGTATGGAGCCAATGGGTAAAAATATGTGGGAAGCTGAACATTTCCTTCATTAAGCCCTTTTAATGGCACTTGGTTCATACAGATAATATGGCAAAATTAGCACAATTAACATTTGAATCAGCTTATTTTTAATCACATCATCTTGGTTGTAATTGGCTTTGATATTTTTCATTTCTCCTTTATCTCTTCCTTTCCACTGTTGTTGGAATTACAAATGATATGGCATCAGAAGAATTTTTAATCAGTAGATTAGGGCACACAAGTTAGGCATTGTTTAATGGAGGCTTACATAGCATAAGTCTTCATATATCAAAGCATAAGTCCCTTTGCAGAATATAACAAGCAAAAAGAAAAAAAAATCTGATGCCATAACATAACATAATTTCAACAACAGTGGAATGATGGAGGTAAAGAGCATTAATATCTGTTCCTATATATTTTAAGTACCAGCTCCAATTCCACAGCGTTGCATGGATAGATAGAAATGGAAGTAATTATCAAAATAATTTATTATTCCTTATGTCTACAGTGTCACATACACTGATTCGCATATTAATTTGGAGACATGCAAACATTCTCTGTCAATCATAATTCCCAAATTATAGGATAATCAATTCTGAAAAACAAAACACAACAAATTTGCTGTCATTCTTCACATGCTTTAGGGGTCTCAACACGTTGCTGAACTGCAACATCCAGCTTCCCTAGGAAGTATTGTGAATGACAACAATTATAAAATATTCCTTGGAAAATTAAATTCCTCATGGTATTTTGTTTTTCAAATTTGATTGTCCTACTATATTAAAAATTTGAAGAATATGTTGATGCAGATAGTTATTTCCATTTCTAATTGCCCATACAATAATGTAGAAGTGGAGCTGGCACTTTAAATGTATGGGAACAGATATTAATGCTCTTTTTAAAATCTTTACAGAGTTTTGGCTTGGATTGGGGAAACTGTAGGCTTTGTGGATTTTCTAGCACTCCCTCCTCTCCCCAGTCTGTACAACAAACCAAGGTAGTGCCATCACAGTTTGGTAGCTAAGGAGTGGCACAGCTTTGACAGTTTTAGCACACCTATACAGGTTTTTAAAAATCCCACTAAAAATGGAGGAAATGGATTAAAAATACAGATATTCCCCTCTCCTCAGTAATAGCATTGCTATTCTGCCTGTGTGGCCTTGAGTGGGGGAAATAATTACAAAAGGACTGTAACATACAAATATTTCTTATTATTGTTTAAATCAGTAGCTTTCAAGTTTGTACACGCCTCTACTCTAGGGAATTAGCACAGTTGCCATAAGTGAGATAGAAGAAACAATTGTTAGTTACTAGAAAATGCCCAATCCTATGAAAAAGCAACATTGAGATGATTAAAATTAAGATTTTAATACATGTTTATAATAATAATATTACTTTTATGCCCATTTTCCAATTACAAACATTGCAGCTGGGATTTCTCTTGAGATGTAGACTCTTTGGTAATGCTAACCTTATGATAACCTGTCAATGGAGATTCTCAGTCATGGTTGTCTCAAAGATGCTTTTTCAAAAGGCAACCGGATTATGTTTTTTTTTTCCTTGAGGAGGATTTTTCACCTCTCATGCAAGAGCTTCTTCAGTTCTGACAGAACTGAAGAAACTTCTTGGATGAGAGGCGAAATGTCTTCCTCAAGGAAAAAACATAGTCTAGTTGCCTTTTGAAAAAGCACATTTGAGACATTTATGATACCATGATATTTTTTTTGCACCCAAGGCATACATTAATCAGCAGTGTTCTGTCTCCTGTGATACCTTGCTATTAATTAACAAATGCAGCCAGGGGCAATGGCAGTGTGATTGTTGACATCACTTGTAAGAAATCTTGTTGCATTTCTTTTTAGAAATTGTTAATCATAATCGTCATTAGTTCATGCCAAGGCAACTATCTCGTCTCCTATATGAGAAGCATAAATCACATACTGAAAATGAAGAATGGACAAGATTTTCTGAGTCAGGTGGCTAAATGTTGGGATCCAGCCAAGCTATAAAATCTCATTCACATTTACCATTTCAGGGCAAGGATAAGAAAAAGCCAAGTCCTAATCATCATAGTGAACTCATTCAGTTTCAAGACTAAGTTAATTTAACTAGGATATTACATTTATTTAATAATATGGAAGCCAAATATCGGGTAATTTCCAAAGCCACTTGATCTTCATACTAAAACTGAAGTAGGAAGAAAAAGGAAGGTGGATATCCAAATCAATTGTATCATTATTATAGTCAGTAAAATAGTTTTTGAAACAAGATACTGTAACTTGAAATGAAATCTCTAGAGTAGGTGCTAGTTATGTTATACAGTTGAAAACATGATTAAATTAAAAGAACTGTTGACATTTCATTAAACAACACTGCAAAATCTGACCAAGATCAAGAGAAATCCTGGTTAGCTTTAGTTGTTAGAACAAATTGATTTGCTCTATTCAAAAACAATTTCCTAGCTGATGGCCTATTATTTTGTGAGGAAAAATAAATAAATGGCCTTTCACAAAATAAAGTAGTATTAAAATTAATCAATTGAAATTAATTTTCCTAATTTGTGATATTCTGAGAATTGTTCTGCCCATAGCTTATTTAGGGTTCTTTCTCATGGTTGAATTGAAGTGTAACCCATATGTCTTTGTACTGGCATACAATCTACTGTCCTTAGTAGCAATTCCTATTTTGATACAGGCGTGATGCCAACAAATGAAACTGTCCTTATTGGACAGGAATAAAGCCCAGATAAACAGTAGGGTCTGAGGGAGAAATTCGGGACTGGCCTACCTTGACACTCTTGGATATAAGAGGGAAGGAAAGATAAATTGTATCAGGCTTTCAGGATTCTATTATTATGGTCTAAACATAATAATGTGGTGGTTTGTGTCCTGACTGGATTTACCACAGATAGCTGACACTTATTCACAGTGTACAAGGCACATTAAGGCAGGCATTGTTGGAGTTCCCTATAAAAGTCAATATGGGCTAAGACTGGGAAGGAAGCAAATTTAATAGTGGTTAGACTAGTAAGTGTTTTTTTTCTCTCTCTGTGCATTTGAAAAGAAGTAACAGAAGATAGGCTCCTTTTTGGAGGATGAGTTTAGTGTTGTTGTCTGCTAAACCCGTATCTGAATGAAACTGGAGACAGATTTAGTGCTATTCTAGAAGAATGCTAAACTCATGTTCAGTAGGTGAGTGATCATCAGCAGATTTGAGATATTCCAGAAAAAGCAATGTTCCAAAGCAGCCTGCCTGAATGACAACTGACAGACATGATGGGGAGTGTACCACGAAGCAGCACAGATAGATAGCTATCCTGCAGTGCCTCCCCTCCTACCACCACAGGTTAGCTGCTGTTTAAGGGTGCTCCAATAAGCAGAATAGGGGATTGACTCAGATATCTGGCAGAAATGTGGTACAGGGGACCTGACTTTAAAGAACCAGACTGTTCTGCTGTCCAAAGCATAATAGTCCTTGAAGATTGGGGAAGAAGGCATGCTAGTATCAGCCTAAGGTCAACTAGTAGACATGGGTCACCTTATTGCAGCACTGACAAATTAGTCAACCAGGTTGCAAAGCTGTGTCAAGATAAGGGAGATATGATGATCACACTCTAATGAGTATCATTAACAATGATTCAAGGCCTTGGGAATGGGTTGGGGAACTGAGAAAGGCCAGGTTATGAAAACAGACCAGAAAAATATTAGAGCATGTCTGTGTCCATAGCAAGTGAATAAACTCAATCTTGGCACTCATTGAATGTGAGAGAAGAAAAATGAGTGATATTGTGCTTCTGCAAATGCTGTAAATTCAGATATAGTGTACAAATATTTATTTTGTCCAGTCCTAAAGAATTCTTGCCCACTCTGCTGATAGCATGATATCCACCATTGTGCCTGTTCTTCCATTCCATTCCATCAGCTAGAGGAGTTAATTGGATATTCCCCTGTATATTTGGTAAAGTGGCCTTAGTTTATTAGATAAAATATTTCTAAAGAACAGCATACTTTTCTCCATTTACAAAGCAGACTGTGACAATGTTCAATTACAAGAGGGATGAAAAAGTCATCAGTGCAAATGTCCTATTTGTGTGATGTCCCATCTCTGTTCTTTATTCTCTCAGTGTTTTGCTTTTTTCCCCCCCATATAATTTGTCAGTCACTGGAAGATTTCAGTTACAAGAATGATATAAAGCATAGAACAGCTGTATGATCAAAGTTTTGATAGAAAATATTCTGCTATCTTGCAAATAATAGCGCTACCTAATGCCATTGTTTGTCTTTCAAATGTGTTTACTGAGGCTTCCATTTCTTTTGTGCCTTTGCTTAAGAGCTTCAGAACTATTTAGTCTGGAATTTCCAATACGAATCTGTGGCAAAATCCAGTGAACGTAGTTCTGATAGACAGCAGTATTGAAGATTCAATTCTTAAGACATTTTCTTCTTTCTTCTCTTAATTCATATGCAACATATATATTGTAATGATGCACCTAGGGATACTGTATCTTTACTTAGGTATTTTTGCTTCATAAAGAATGGGTTGAAAAAATACTTTACAGAAGAAAAAGTAGTCGTCCAATATATTGTTATACTTTATACCATATTGATAATTATATACAAGCTTCTAAATTGACCCTTAGAGATAAAAGCTAAAGTCTCTTCGAATCCACTTGATTCCTGGTGACTTCAGAGACACATCCACGTAGCTTTCTCAGCAAGAGTACAGAATTGGTTTACCACTCCCTTTTTGGATTATTTTTATCACTTCCCAGTTTTGCTTACCGCTTTGCCAATCTTATAGAACTTGACCAAGCTGCATCCTGCTGAGCTTCCAAGCCTGACAAGATCAACCAGGCAGTGCCACCTGCTGAAACACCCTTAAGAGATGCATGAAAGCATGTAATATAAGGTTGAACGTATCCCGTTTAAAGAAGAAAAAAAAAACTAAACAAAAATCTTGTTTCATGTCAGTCTTCCAATTAAACTCTGACTGCATGAAGAATATAATAAGTATTGGAATGTTGTTTAAGTATAACTTGTAATGTCTATTGGTGATAATTGGGGAACACCGACCCTGGGGGTGGGGGTGGGGTCTGGTAGTGATAGCAGCAGCAATAGTCTTAAACAGTGGTGTAAGGTGGCTAGTGTGTAGTGCTGATGGCAACTAGTTTCTGCTGTTTATCCTGGCCCCTTATTTTCTTCAGTTGCATTTTGTTTTTGTTCTCTGGATCTCTGTTCTGACGTCTGGATTCCTGATCTCTGTTTTCCTGACTGGTTTCTTTGCTTTCTTCTCTCTTTGGTTTTTTTTGTCTGTCCTTTCTTCTCCCTGCAATACAAAAACTACAGTACGTTACACGGTATATCATTTATTTAGAGATGATCAGTTTCTCTTTTCCTGGCATTCTCGAACTCTGAACTCTTAAATAAAGAAAAACCTCTGACGTTGGTTTCTTCCAAGAACAAGGTTAAGCAGAACTGGAAATATAGAGAACTCAGTCCACTCTCAACATTTTGACAAACTAATTCAAAATACAAATTATAGCCTCTGTCATAAACAGTGCTTTAAGAGGCATTATGCATATATATTATTTTTATATAAAAAGCCTTTAGATTGCTATACTTACATGTCAAGATTGTTCATTATACCAAATATTATAATTAGGTGAGTAAAACTGCAGCCTTAGCTTTGTTCTATATATTTTAATAATTAGCAATACCTTACAATTATGCTAAGATTTGTGTCCTTCCTACGGGGAGCAAGCCAGAATTTAAAATTAAATAAAACATTTTTATTTATTGCATTTTATGTCACATCTTGTTCTCAGGAATATTAATCTACATCAGTGGTTCTCAACCTTTTTAATGCCGTGACCCCCAACCGGTCATAAGTCGAGGACTACTCAACTGGTCATAAGTCGAGGACTACTCAGCTGGTGCAGCACCGTTTGCAGAATGGGACTTTTGGCGGGCTCAGCAGGGCAGAGACAGCCTGGACAATTCCGATTGGCTTTGGAAAGCCAATAGAATTAGACTCTATTCAAGAGAGTCTCTCTATTCAAGAGAGTCTATTCTATTGGCTTTCAAAAGCCAATAGAATAAAAGGAAAAGGGGAAAAAAATGGCGGACTGCGTTGTTTGGCGACCCCCGTGAAATGGTCGTTCAACCCCAAATGGGGTCCCGACCCACAGGTTGAGAACCACTGATCTACATAATGGCAAGGAATCTTTTCCTGAAAAAGAATAACTGAACCAAAGACTTGGAGAGTTCCGTGTCTGAATAGGGACTTGAATTTATATCTTGCCAGTTAGAAGGGTCATCATATCTACCCCACTTGCTCAGTGGAGGAATCCAGATTACTCTAGAACCCACACATTCAGGCAGAAGGAATCCATTATTCCTTTGGGTAATGGATTCCATTATTAAACTGCTCTGACAATGAAAGTTTGGCTATCTTTCAACCAGAATCTGCCCTTTAATATTAAACTACTATTCCTTGTCCTATCTGGAATAAAACAGAACAAATTTTGACTGTTGCTTATGTCAAGAAACTTTCAAATGCTTTCTGGAATAAATCAGAATAAATCTTAAGTTTTAGATATTTGAAGGATTCTATTCCCTTCAGTGTTGTCAAGATTCTTTTAGTCTTCATTGTATTAGTTATTAGCTCTAAATCATTCTCATCTGCATTTCAGAAAAACTATTAGCTGAAACTTATTAAAATCTAGTGGCTAGAAAAGGACCCAGCACTTAAATGGAGTCTGACCAATGCAGAATACTGTAACTGTTAATTCCAATTATCTGGAAATTACACTTTTATACTTTATATAATAGAATTATATTTGCCTTTCTTGCTTCCATATTACACTGCTGAATAATATTCAGTCTGCAATCAACTATTCTAAAATTATTTTTATAAGTAATATCTCTGTCCATAATATGAGCATGTAATTTTTGTCTTCCAAGTGCATAAGTTTCTTTGTCTATTTCATTCTATTATTTTTCAACCTGTCTAACCTATCAAATATCTCTGAAACCTCTTTCTCAAAATCCCATCTAATTTTGCATCATTTGCAAAAAAAAAAAATCCCTTCCATTCCTTTATCGAAATGATTAAGAAAATATTAAAACATAGACAATCTATGGCTGAAGCTTGTTGGAACTCAGCCACAAACAGTGGCTCCAGTTTGATTAGGACTTGTTGATGATGTCTTTTAGTACAAGTTTGGGAAAATTGTATATCTACATAATTGTTAATGCCATCCCGCTTAGGTTACTCTTGGTTGCTAATCAGAATATCATGGAATATATTGTCTAATCCTGGAAAGGAATGTTAGAGATCACCTTGGTCTGGTGGCTTTCAAAGTTGATGGCAGTCCTTCAAGTAGATCAGGTGAAGAAACAAGTACCATAAGGCAGTGTTTCTCAACCTGCAGCCTGCGGAACCATGGGGGGGGGGCACAATGTCATCACAGGGGGTCTGCAAAGGCTTGAAGAAATGTTATGATTCAAATCTTGAGTTAGGTTTTGGGGGTCCGTGGCCATTATCTGTGACCACAAAAGGTATTTAAAGGGGGTCCAGGGTGAAGAAAAGTTTGAGAACCTTTTCTCAACCATAAGGATTCCTGGAATGCTACTTTGTTGTTATAGGGTATAATAACAGAATCTTGAAAACCTCCCTTCCGAAGACATCTCTACCTTCCTTTACAAATGCTTTGCTTAGGCCAAGATATATTCTTACAATCTATTAAAGGAATTATCTAATTAAAATAAATGAAATAAGGTTAAAACTTGACAAATCTAAGGCCAGAACTTAAACCATTAAGTTTATTGACCACTCTATACTTGCTCTTAATAAAAATGGTAAATACAGCTAATATAATTATAATCTGATACTAAAGTTGAACATATTCTCTTCCAAAGAAATATGGACAAGGAAAAATGAATAAATTAAACTGACTTAAAAAATAAAAGAATAATTTATGATGTGATTAATGTAGTTGGAGAAAATATGAATGTAGATTTCTTCAGGTGCTCAAAATAAAATAAAATGAAGAACTGCTGTACTTCTGAATAGATTGTAATGCATTGCACTTATTTATGTGAGCTAAAATTCCACTAAGGGGCACCCTTGTGCTTTTTAAATCCGTCTTTTGAAATCCTTCAAATAAAGATATAATCTTTTTAATGAACAATGTAAATCTCATTGTTTTGCGACATAGTCTGTTCTGATTCTGAGTGTATGAATTCTATGTTCAGTTTCATTTTGACAGTGTTTGTACTCTCTGAGTCCATCTGATTTATCATACAATCAAAGGGACAGACATCATAAGGCACACAATGTAATGTTGTCCTATAGGTTATGCTATAGAAAGAAGAATGAGTGAGAATAAACAGGTGCAGTGCTATCATATTTTATGATTCTTGGATACAAGAATGAGAAGATGGACAGAATTATGCACTGGAGAAGATGGACAGAATTATTCACTATGATTTAATATTGATCCAATATTATGAGCCTTCACAGATAAGGTTTTTTTTTTTTAATCACAGCTCTTTATCTCTTATTAGCAAATCAATGTGTTGGAAGAAAAGCATAATGCTTAAAAATAAGCTAATTGTACTTGTCAAACTATATTTTCTGACTTTTTAATCACAGGATTAAGAGGCATAATATGTTATTTGAAGCTCTCTGATTTTATTTTTATTTTATTTCTGCTCAGCTTTCCTTGCCTATATCCTGAAAAAAAAAAGGTTTGTAATTTAGTCTGGACATGGTAGTAGTTCAGGTCTGTGTGAAACAGTGTACTTAGGTTGCATACCTGGTAGGACTTAAGTTGTCCATCCTACCAGGACATCTACTGTGTCACAAACAAGAAAAAAAAACAGGTAACAATTCAAGAAGACATGGACCAGAAGGATCAGCTTTTCAAAAAAAAAAAGTACTGATACAATTCTTGATTACCCCCCAGGTCACTTCAAGCCGCTTACATTCCATTAATGCAGTGTTATGCATATTTCTAGCATTTTTCTCATTTCCAAAAAGCATGACCATTTTTCTGAACACAGAAAATATACTGACGATGAACTTGACAGATCCTGGCCCAAACAAAATTTTAAGGACTCCACTCCTCTCTATTGCAAGGTATCTGTCCAGAGTTTTTATTTTCATTTGTCAACAGATAGCTCTGGCTTCTTATAGTATTTTAAGTGTACAGAGATTTGTGCTTTTACTGAAGAGCAAATGTTAGACTCCCTGCTTTTAAAAAATGTTATCATGATGGGACCGTTTTTATTAGAACAGGCCCACAATTGCTGGAAGTAGAATCTATACTTTCCAAATGACTGTTTTTTTGTTTTTTTTGGGATTTTGCAGTTCTGAGTATTAATTACACTGTATTATACAAGGGAGATCACAGTATGATAAAAGGGAGATAAAGGTGAGAGGGTGCATAGGATTGAGTCAATGTCAGCCAGTAATTTTCAGGTTGAAATGGAGTTTGGAAACCAGATTTACCAGCTTTGTGCCCAGTCATCTCCAAAATGCTTGTTAGTAGGTATGCAATTCTCATCAACCTAACCTTTAACACCATGTTCCTGCAAGTGAGATTGTTTTTGCACATGTAGACACCCATTTGATTACATAAAGTGTAATCAAGCTGTTGTTTCTGTGGGGAATAATAGTACAGATTTACAACAGTGCATTTAGTGACTGTTCAAAGTTACAACGGCACTGAAAAAAGTGTCTTATGACAATTTTTCACACTTAACAACCATTGCAGCATCCCCATGGTCATATGATCAAAATTCAGACGCTTGACAACTGGTTCATATGCATGACAGTTGCAATGTCCTGGGATCAAGTGATCAGTTTTTGTGACAAGTAAAGTCAATAGGAAAGCCAGATTCACTTAACAACAGTGTTATTAACTTAACAACTGCAATGATTCACTTAACAACTCTGGCAAGAAAGATGGTAAAATAGGGTAAAATTTACTTAAATGTTTCACTTAGCAACCTAATTTTTGTGCTTAATTGTGGTTGTAACTCAAGGGCTACCTGTATTCATATGGGCAGTATGCTGAATCTTACATTAAACATGATGGAATTACTTGAAAAGTTCTAAAATATGATAGTGGGATTTGCTGCTTAAACAGTTTCCACGTATATATGACTTGTATACAATATAAGATAGGGATGATATATGTATATAGTATGACTTAGGATCAGGAATTTTGGTATAAATAGCTGTAACTTCTTTTTGACCTTCAACAGTTTAGCCCCTCCTGCAAGATTCCCTTGAGGTCATAGTTGTTCTTTATGAGACAT